GGGGCTCGCTGCTCCGCCCTTTGAGACTTGAGGAGCCGACAGTGTGAGCTGTATTACTGGTGTCATTTCCTGGTTGCTGCGTGGGGTCCGCGAGACATGGCGAGACTCAGCCTGAACTCAGCCTGAGCACACACACGTGAGTGGAGATCCACGCAGCTGCGGCTGAAAAAAGCTCTATGCAAGTCAATGGGACTCCCTGATAGTTGAAAATCGAGGCTAAAGGTCCCCCCACTGCGTTTGATAGTGACACCAAGGGATCCTGGTTTGTGAGGAGCTCCACGGATTGGTCCATTGGGTCGTCGTTACACCACTTGGTTCCCGGAAGAAAAATATGGAAAAAGAGAAATGTCCATTGAGGCGTTCTGGGGCAGCACAGACAGGTCTTCTCTGTGTTAGAGTTTCACTCCCTACAGGGTGTACTTTGAGGGTTTGAGACTCTGCAGACCGTCTACATGCAGAACAAGCTACATAACACACAAGGGGACGGGTAATAATAACCTTTAAATATTCTCCAATGTCATTCTTAACTTTGCATTTGTATTATTTATTTATTCGACCCTATTTTATTGTAAAATTTAAATGTTTTTTGGGACATCAGAGCAGACCAACCACAGGATTGTGTCACGCTGAATGTGTGTAAGATAACGGGCAAAGCTGCTTTTTGTTGTGTAAGCGTGTGTTGCAAAATGACAATAAATTATCCTTTAAATCCGCTCTAACATTTCCTGATTTCTTAGAAAGATTATTGGCAATGTTTTTTGGGGGAAAGGAAACAATCTGGGACCTAAACAAATTGTTATAATGAATCGAAAGGAACTTTAAATCTTGAAGAATAAGCAGCGTCTTCGACTTCACATAATAATCATTGATGATGGATTAAAAAAGAAAAGGCACCAGAACCCTCCAACAGAGGGACTGGGTAACATTACATGGACGGTATTGAAAATAAAAGAAATATAAAAAAAGAAAAAGCACTAAAATCAAATACTCATACAAAATATAAAACCCAGTAGAGAGAAGTGTACGGTCCAATGTTAGTTGTTATTGATTAGGAGTCAATGGGTTGCAATTATTTAGAGGTTTTGAAACAAATCAAGCCTTTTCAATTAAACAACATCAAAATTGTAATTAAAAAGTTGGAAAAATTGCAAAACAACGTATGTTATTCCAAAGATGCAGTACATGATTCATAAAAAGGTTCCTGGTCAAAACTAGCCTATTGGGGACTATGAATAGATCAAAACTCAAATTAAAGGATCATCTTATCTACAGGGGTTAGCAGCTCATTTGCATATTCCAATGTGCATGTATCAGAAGTTAATTTGGTACATTGGAGGATAACGGAGAGGTTCTCTTACCTGACGTCACCTCCACTGAGAGCTGAGCGGTGTCTGACTCCTCGTTAGTCGAGTCCACCGCCACCACCTGGGACAACAACGTTTAGGTGTTTAATAAATAACATCACAACTATCAAACAGCTGTTATATGTTTGTGCTAGATGTGTGAACTCACCTGCAGAGACAACGTGCCCTCTGGGAGATCCTTCGTCATGAATAAATATCCGTCGATGATGGAGAAATCACTGCTGCCTTTAACGCTGTAAGTGATGTCGGGGTTTATACCCTGGTAAAACACAGATTTAAAGGTAAGAGGTCCACGGCAAGTTCTCAGACAACACAAAAAATACTTTGTATATCAACTAAAACTCAAAGCTGATACAATGAATATTCACTTGTTGAGGTTTCCTTTTCCTGTAGTGTGTTATGTATATGCATGTAAATGGTCCCCAGAGGCTAAAATCATTGTTTTCCCTCCAGAGAGAGTTTCTCAAAGTCAGAGTATATTGTGTAGTTAAAAAAATATGAAAGAATAATAGTATGTAAATAAAGTCCACAAAAAAAAAATCTAGTTATAGGACATGTTAGAAATTAAAATCAATGTTGATATGGCGTAATTTGAATTAAATACACTATTTGATTTAAATCAGTTTTATTCTGAAAAACCGGAAGTTCTCACTATTAGCTTAACACTTTTATTCTGAAAATTCGTCACTTCCGGTTAGCATTTAGCATCTGGCGGAATCATACGATTTCAAACCTTGAACCAAGGTGAAATGACATGTGATGTTGTACACTGAGCACACTGGGATTAGCACTCATTTATTGACGCTGAATAATGTGTAGCAGGGAATGTTTAAATAACCACAGACGCCAGAACGATACAATTTAGCTACAGAAAAAGGCAGGAATTGCATTGGACCCGCCCCCCGATGACGCCGGCCAATAGGAGAAGACCTCAGATGACAACAGGAAGAGCAAGCCAAGAATTGATCTCTTCGACCCCCTGACCTGAACTGACCGGTCGGATGTGGAGAGCGCCTCCACTCGCACATTTCATTTTGTACACCACCGCATCTTTTGTGTAATTAAATGCTGTTAACTTTTATAAGCTTCCCTTGACTCTTTTCAGTCTCTCCTGCCTTCAGGGTTCTAGAATTGCTTTCAGACACCATAAATATATATAAAAAAAACAGAACAGTAAATCATACATTACTGTAAATGCTAGGAAATTATATAATTTTAAAAAAGGCACAGTAAAGTGTGTCATCATTGTGTTTGGAAAAATACTGTTTTAGTTAGTCATAAAAAATATTTAAAAAATGTATAGTGAAATATATAATTAAAAGGTTATTTAAAAAGTCGTAGTTTAGCATTTTATTTATGTAGATATTTGTTCTTAAATTCATAGTATAGTATGTCAACAAAAAAATCATAGTGTCATTAAGAAATAGTATGTCATAAATGACTAGTTATTTGAAGCCAAGGCAGCATCCAGCCTTCTTGTACAGTCTTTATGTAACCCGGTTTATCCCGTTGAGACCGTTTCTTGATAAATAACTAAAGGGTAGTCAGTGTGTTACCCCGGTGGCGGTGTAGTCCTGGTCCGTGGCGAGGAACCTCAGCGGCTGGTCCTTGTTCTCCGGGTCTATCGCCATCGAGCCCACCACGGACACAACTCCTCGGTACTGAGTCCTCTGGAGCTGAGGGGGGTGGAGGCTCCTCACCTGGACTCTGATGCTGAGGGAGGTGGAGGAGGACTGGAACAGGTTGGTGCTCTGAGCGGCCTGCAGGAGACACAAGGGCTGTCACCAGGAACACAACTCTACTCACTCAGAAGCTTGAATGACCCCCGAAAATAAGTCATAGTATTTAATCATTAAAAATGCATGTCATACGGTCGTAGTATGTTATAAAAAACGATTTAAAATAGACATAGTGTAATATGTTATACTTATTGTGTGTATGTCTCAATGCCAATTTCCTCTGTGGGACTAATAAAGGTATTCTGATTCCGATTTTGTATACATTTTGGTTTAGTATGTTATAAAACATATTTTTAATAATTCAAAGTGAAGTATTTAAAAAAAATACATTTTTTAAAAGTTGTCGTATAGTATGATAAAAAATATTTAAGAATAATAGTATGGTATAGTCTTCTGAAAACTCATACCACAGCATATCAAATCAAATATTTCCAAAAGTCATAATAAAGTCTTCTGAGCGGCCTGGAGGAGAAACAAGGGCTGTCACCAGGAACACAACTGCACCTCAATCTGAAGCTTGAATCAACCCACACAAGTCATAGTTTAGTATTTAGATTTTGAAGTGACTGTTATTTTGTATATATTGATTGTTGTGCTTTTATGTATGTCTTAGTGTGTGCATATGTATACATGTGTCTGTTGATTGTATATATATATTTATAAAACGGACAAGTCAAATCAAGCAATCTGATTGGTTCTTAGCCATGATATACTGAGCGTATACCACGGGTAGAATTGTAAGTTACTTTTCACAACAAGTCGGTATCCCTCCGCGTCTGAGAAAAACAGTATACCGTTGGGCTGAAAAGCAAACTGCAGGCTGGTTCGACCCTCCGCTTCGCGTTGGGCCGAACCACGCCCCTTAGCTGTGATATAATGAGCATACCACGGCCTGTCGTGAGCTATTGCTTAAATATCTAGGATATACATATTTGTGGGAAAATTGTATTTCGATGTCTGTACACACAAACTGAAAGATTGAAAATAAAGTGGACTTTGACTTTTGACTTTAATGATTAAAAATGCGTGTCATAGTATAGGCCTAGTACTGTATGTTATAAAAAGCGATTAAAAAAAGTGCTATATTTTAATATTATAATAGCTTTTTATGATAGTTTTATTTTGTGGGCCCTTTTCTTACTATGTGTCTTCTTTGACTGTGTTTATGTTTGCACCAAATACACCAAGGCAAATTCTTAGTACAGTATGTGTAAACCTTCTTGGCAAGAAACCACTGATTCTGATTATTATATTTAATTTATATTTCACCATTAACGTTTGCTATTATCAACTATTATTTTTTTTATTTTACTTATTTCTTTACCAGAACGGTCAGACTGATGATCCCCAGCACGTCCACGGGCTTCAGCATAAGGATGTCCCCCGTGCTCGGGTTGATCTGAAACAGCCCGCCTCCGTTCCCTGAAACACACACAGACTCAGATCCTTCCTGAAGATCATTCACAAAAACAAACACTGTGATGAAACATAATCTGCTCACCGCCCAGGAACGAGTAGGTGATCTCCTCGTTGAGTCCTACATCTCCGTCGATGGCGTACAGCGGCCCGGGATCCAGGGATAATGCTCCGACCTGCAGGACGTCATGGTGGAGATTGATTTCAAAAAGTCATAATATAATGAAAAAATGATTTTATCATATTATAATACGTAATAAAAAAATAGTTTAAAGAAGGTCAACGTATTGTTTGTCCAAAGAAAATGATTAAAAAAGTCAGTATGTAAAAAACTAAATGACAGTTATAGTATAGTATGTCATAAAATAAGAAAAGCAATATCATAGTGTGTGGTAAGACATAGTGTAGTGCTTATAAAAAAATCCAGGTAAATATCCAGACAGTTATTTTTATATAAAGTATCCTTATAAAATGTAGTGGAGTGGAGTGCCGAGCTTCGTGACCACAGAGCGTGTGAACGTTGTGATCAGCTGTTT